ATCAACGCCATCATCATCATCGTCAAATCATCGTCGTCAAGACAATCAACGCCATCATCAGCATCATCATCAACACCATCATCATCATCACCATGGTCAAATCACCAAAATCAACGCCATCAACGCCATCATCATCATTTGTTTTAATCATTGCCGTCAAGATAATCAATGCGATTAATAGTATCGTCAAATCATTACACAGATAATCACCCATCATCAACACCATCATCATCACCATGGTCAAATCACCAACATCAACGCCATCAACGCCATCATCATCATCGTCAAATCATCGTCGCTAAGACAATCAACGCCATCATCAGCATCGTCAAATGCCATACCACCATCCCTACACCATCATCAACACCATCATCATCGCCATGGTCAAATCACCACATCAATCGCCATCAACGCCATCATCATCATCGTCAAATCATCGCCGCCAGATAATCAACGATTACATCAGCACGCCTATCAACACCACTATCATCACCATGGTCAAATCACCAACATCAACGCCATCAACGCCATCATCATCATCGTCAAATCATCGTCGTCAAGACAATCAACGCCATCATCAGCATCGTCAAATCATCGTCGTCAAGACAATCAACGCCATCATCAGCATCGTCAAATCATCGTCGTCAAGACAATCAACGCCATCATCAGCATCATCATCAACACCATCATCATCACCATGGTCAAATCACCAACATCAACGCCATCAGCGGCATCATCATCATCGTCAAATCATCGTCGTCAAGACAATCAACGCCATCATCAGCATCGTCAAATCATCGTCGTCAAGACAATCAACGCCATCATCAGCATCATCATCAACACCATCATCATCACCATGGTCAAATCACCAACATCAACGCCATCAGCGCCATCATCATCATCGTCAAATCATCGTCGTCAAGACAATCAACGCCATCATCAGCATCGTCAAATCATCGTCGTCAAGACAATCAACGCCATCATCAGCATCATCATCAACACCATCATCATCACCATGGTCAAATCACCAACATCAACACCATCAACGCCATCATCATCATCGTCAAATCATCGTCGTCAAGACAATCAACGCCATCAGCAGCATCGTCAAATCATCGTCGTCAAGACAATCAACGCCATCATCAGCATCATCATCAACATCATCATCATCACCATGGTCAAATCACCAACATCAACGCCATCAACGCCATCATCATCATCGTCAAATCATCGTCGTCAAGACAATCAACGCCATCATCATCATCGTCAAATCATCGTCGTCAAGACAATCAACGCCATCATCAGCATCGTCAAATCATCGTCGTCAAGACAATCAACGCCATCATCAGCATCATCATCAACACTTCATCATCATCATCGTCAAATCACCAACATCAACACCATCAACGCCATCATCATCATCGTCAAATCATCGTCGTCAAGACAATCAACGCCATCATCATCATCGTCAAATCATCGTCGTCAAGACAATCAACGCCATCATCAGCATCGTCAAATCATCGTCGTCAAGACAATCAACGCCATCATCAGCATCAGCATCATCATCAACACCATCATCATCACCATGGTCAAATCACCAACATCAACGCCATCAACGCCATCATCATCGTCAAATCGTCAAGACCAATCTTCACCGATGCACCGCTTGCAGACAGCTTTAAGGAGAATCGCAGACAGCTTGGATCGCGGGCAGTAGAGAGCAACGCAGAGGGCCATGTCCAGAGCCGCCAGCCCCTGGCAAGGCGCAACGGAGCCCAAAGGAAGTCCGTATAGAGACAAATGCAATCGAATGAAATACATCCCTAAGCCAAATGCAATGAAACAGGCCAAAACTTGTAGGTCGCTCATGAAGGCATAGCCAATCAGCCACACATGCGCCGTGAATTGAAAGGAATTCCTGACTTGAGCCGTGATGTGTGTGTGTGTGTGGGTCAGGTGTGCGGTACTGCAGATCTGGGCAAAATAACAGCTGAAAGTACAAAATACAAATCCTATATCAGCTGCATTTGGGGCAAAGTGAGTGGATAATTGCCGCGGCCGAAATCAGCCTTCCTAACGCGAAACCCAAGCTACATGGCAGAAGGGCAGCGTACTGATTGTTCTTGACCATTGTCAGTCCAGAGAGGGTCCTCAAGTCATTTCGATACCTCAGAAGTCCAATGCGCATGCGGCAACCCTTCAAAACCTTTGACCCATCCTTCAAAGAGGCTGATTTGCTGAGGCACAACAACCATGACACGATGTCCCCATGTCTGCCACTGGCGAGTGGCAAAAACGGATCCGTCCCTCCATACTGGAGGCAAAGAATCGAGCCAGCGGCAATGCACAAAGTGCAGTTTGATCCTCGTACTGTCAGGAGAGGCGTGGCCCCAAGCCGAGCAACTGCTGCTGCTGCTCGCAGGCATACTCTCGGCCCTGGCTGAACCTGTCGGGTCAATGAATTGGGGGTTCCCCAAAAAGTAAAGAGTCCGCTCGTACATTGGACACTCCTATATTAGCATGTTATTCGTGCTGGGTGCTCAACGGCGTGCTGCAAAATGACTTTTCGAACGGAATGTGGCCTCCACTCATGTGCGGGGGGTGCAGGCTGTGGCGATTGTTGAAGGCAAAGTACTGAAATGCAAAGAGATGTTGGCTCTCATGAATTTGGAAGCTTTTGCAAAAAAAACACTTCCCGCAAGCAACCCCAAACAGTGGCTGGAATGATTTGAGAAACATTGTGAAGCAGGGGGTTGGGCTGGCCTCAGCAAGGCAGGTTTCGGATACATCTCTAGCCTGCCGGCTTTGGTTGTCTGTTGATTCTGTTGGTGTGTGGATGGTCGGTCTCATCAATTCTCAGGTCCTCTTTGACCGGACAGGTCTGCTTGGCTTTCCCTGGGAGTCGATTTGCTAAAATAATACCCAATATCATCAAGCTCTTCAATGGAAATGAGATGTAGCAGGCACTTGTTGCAAGCGAATGTGTGGTTGCCTGCTATCTTAGGCTGCAACATGTCCGCAGTTTGGGTTACACATCCGCAATGCTATCGTCTTCATGCGACAGCAGCTGCCATAGCGACCATATCCGCTGACATCAGTGACCGAAAACGCGACAATGCTGAGATCGCAAATCCTCTTCGACAGCCTCGGCTTTCCCTGCTCAAAATCACCAAACACGAATACCTTTTGCAAAACATGCCCAGCGCTTCCCACCTTTCATAGCGGAATTCCGCATCGTAGAGGTAGTTTGCTCCTAGGCTCCAGCGGCTCTTAGGGCCAAAAACCACTGTAAAAGTAATCAGATCACCTCGTATGGCGTTGACTTGCTTCCGCGAGTGAATGTGAATCTGTTTCCAACTCGAAGCTCCTTGACAATGCTATTCACACCCTCTCAGATGGTATGCCCTCGAGCAGAATTGGATGGGATCGTCGGAGTTCCAAATCCAATTGGCTTGAGCGAAAATGGCCACAACCTTTGCCAAGGGCCGATACATCATCCGTACATCCGTACATCCTGAACCGGACTCGCGTTGACTCAGCCCCAGACGGTTGTAGTTGAAGAGCCCAAAGCCCACAGCCGCACCAGCCGCAACCCCAGCTTCCGCGGCCACAGACGCCATGCCCTTGGGAAATCCCCACCACGTGTCCTGAAATCCCTTTTGTTTGTCTAACCGCTCAAAGCGGCCAGGTACCCTCCAAGACACGAAGCGCTATGAAACTTGGGTTCTGTCCCTGTCGTGGTTGAAATTTAGTGGCTCTCCCGCATAGATTGACCGAACCCAACAAAAACCTGCTTTCTTGAAGATTGCGGGACTACTTGGAATGCAAAAAACGCGTGACTTTTTCATCCATCCCTGTGCGGGTTCCATCTTGTTTTGCAGGAGGGTGCCCGGCACGGGCAGGCAACATTAATGTTGGGGAGTGATTAATAAAGGGCCCCCCCCCCTTCCCCTTGCTCAAACCAATTGGGGGGTGTCAATAGCGAGAACCCCCAAAAACAAAATGGGGGTCAGACTGGGACCTGCCTGAGTAGTTTTCCAGTAAATATTGTTTAGAGTTGGCTTAGAATTGGTTTAGTATTCCTTTGAGCTGGCTCACTACGGTTTAGAATTGGTTTAGTATTAGTTCAGTATTCTTTTCAGTTGACTCACTACAGCTTAGAATTGGTTTAGTATTGGTTCTTCTTCTTGGCAGGCTGCCCTGGCCCATTTTTTGTTCGCAATTCCCTACCCTTAAACAAACTGCATTATTGCCTTCCTGAGGGTTCCGTGTGCCACCCCCTTTGAAAATTTGTCAGGGTGCATCTTCTAGTAAAGGGATTGATAAGGAATTTGGTGGTTTGGAACAGAAAGCCATCCAGAAATTCTGGACATTTCTGGCTGGACTCAAACGTTTCAACCCTCAAAAATAGTCCATTCTTGAAAGGGGACATATTTTCGGGATATCGGGCAGTTGTTTTTTCTGTAATACCTACCCTTTTTGCTTTTCAGGAGAGTGAATAATTTTGAGATATGTTTTTCTGTATTCACTCCCGTTTTATTAATCGCTATCTAACATTACCCTTCAATGGCCTTCTTGGAAATGAGCGAGGGCCCCAATAGCCACCCAAAACAAGAATGAGTGGAGCGTGCATGAAATAAAGTCTCTGCATTCCGTCCACGCTAGTGCCCATTCAACACTGTCTCCCTTTCTCCCAGTCTGAGGGCTGGCACTTGTTGCCAGCACGCCCGACAACTGAACCGCCCGCTTTGGGAACGAAGGCGGCTGCAATCAAGATCCGAAGTTTTCAATAAGCGCTATGCTCAGCTGAAAAAAGATTTTGCTGCACATGTCCAATGGGAGTCACGTACACAAAAAACAAGCGACTGACAATGGAATTCTAGCAATTACAACTGTGCTCTAGGCTCACAATCTGTACCCTGTCATTTGCTTCGTAATCAGCATTCAAGGTAAAACACATGCAGTATTGGCAGGGTAAAACATGTTTGCCTTTGCCCGGGCCACATTTGGCGTTCTGCAAAACACGTTGTAGTGAAACAGACACCTGCTCAAATGTGATTCACGTAACCAAAATCAAGCTGAATTTTCAACGTGAACCGGCACCTTGGATCGCATGATCCCTTTGCCAAAGGCAATCCAAGGCCGGCACCTCCAAAGCACAATGAGCACACACTGTGAATCCAAGCCATGCAATGCTAGCAAGGTTACTCAGAAGGCACAAGCAGCGCAAGCGCAACCCAAACAACCGAGTCGGAATGCACATGCCAATTTGGATCAAACCCACAAAGCCAAACGCAACTTCTCCAAACATCAGAAAACGCACTCGACGCGTAGCCGTGCCGAATGATCCAGCCACATCGCGCATATGGGCAAGCTGTGCGCGGAATTTCAAATTCACCAAAGTGTAGCCGTGCGCTGGTAAGGCAAGAAAGAGAAGAACCAAACAACAAACAACATTACAAACAAACAAAACAAACGGGGAGTGTGGCGCGAGCCTGGCGCCAGGCAAGTGGAAAATAGGGTAAACAAGCCACAAAAAACAGACCCACAAAGTAACCAATCACGATTTTCCAACATACCGACAACCAACCAACCAACGAACAAACCACCAACAAACCAACCAACCAACCAACCAACCAACCAACCAACCAACCAACCAACCAACCAACCAACCAACCAACCAACCAACCAACCAACCAACCAACCAACCAACCAACCAACCAACCAACCAACCACAAGCAACAAGACACGGCAAAGCACTGTCCCGGCAAGAGACCCCATACAGTAGTGGGATTCAACAAGAAACCAACATAAAGCAAATCATCTTGAGGAGACCTTCATTCCAACACACACCCAATTCCCAGTGTTGAAGTGGAAACGGCTTCCAAGACAAAGTAACGGATCGCACATGTTGGCGGGCGCCCTATCGCATACTGGTTCAAATTTGCTTTTGACAGTTTTCAAGCACCCCGCAATCCCGTTCTCATCATTCAGCCCCGTAAAGTTGCGACTTTGCAAGCCGGAGCTGCGGGAATGCTCTTCGCGCGACTTACGGCTCTCGATTGGGAAGCCGGAGCTGCGGAGCGCACTTCGCGCGCAGCCTTTGTACTTAAAAGTTGCGAGTTTCGAATCGGAGCTCTGGAAAGCTCTTTCCGTGCTACTGGCGTTCTTCACACATGCGAACTTTGAGCCAGAGCTACGGGATCGCGTGCTTCGTTTGTGCTTAGAAGTTGCGATGCTGCAGCTGGAGCTGCGGAAGCGCACTTCGCACAGTGCTTTCGAAATTAAAAGTTGCGAGTTTCTGGCAAAAGCTGCCGCGGACCAGGCAGGTGGAACCCGAGACTGCGCGCAACTGTGAAAGCAGGCGCGCAAACCACGACACAACTTGCAAGCAAACAAAGCCGTAAAACCGCGAGCGCCTCGACCGCTTGGAGCTTGGAGGTCGCGGCGCCTGACCTGCTGAGTTGCACCAGGCAGATTTGCAAATTGGGTAACAGATTGCACAACCCTCACGGGAAGGATATTGTACACCCGGTTCCGATTTCAGAGCATTGGATACCTTGCTGGTGCTGGATGCCACTCCGGCGACCAATCCCATGTGGTTGATTTATCTTTACTGATGGTGCTTTTGAAGGCGATTTGGAAAGCCCTACACGTGGTGGAGTTTTAGTGTCTGGTAATAGAATATTATGGTGAAACTCTTCCTAGTCATTGGACGAATGAACGATTTGACTAGTTGCACAAATCGCCCAATACACGAGATTGAGTTGTTACCTGTTTGAGTAGCCTTCGTCGCTTGGCAACGTTTCTTGGTTGGGAAAAGCGGCGTGTCGCGCACATCGAACGACGCGGCGAGGGCAGCACTTGTGAACAGTTATTCAACGAGGCTGGCAGGTAAATTTTGCGCAAATGTGTGGACTCCGAAGCTGGACATGGCAGGTCAACACGGTATGGGAGAGTCGGCGGGCGTTCAGACATTGCCGATAGCCCCAGCAGATTGGAATTCAATAATAGCCTTCTTGAAGAAGGAACACAGCTGCATGTAGACTGGAAGTTCCTTACACCACTGCACGAATGACGTGGGGATCAAACGGGTGCAGTGGCAAAACACATGCCAGTTCATACAGGCTGGCACGAATTTCCCAGACAATATGCGCTACACATCTGGCGCACGCGCTTCTCCATTTGCGCAAGCAAGGAAGAAGGAGCGAATGCTTTCACACACTATCCTTTTGTCAAACTGCCTCCGGCTTAAACCGCAGTGCGAATTGTTAGGCTTGGCGCGTTCCATTTGCACGATTGGTTTGGGTTTCCAGCCTCGTACGCTGAGCGTGTCTGGCTCGCAGCGCAGTTGCGCGCGGCGGGCAAGTGGGTGACGGAAGTGACATTTGCACGCTCGTTGTTCGGGCTGCTGCGAAGATGTCCCAAGAAACGATTGGTCGCGTTGGCACGCCTGGATGTGAAGGCACGGCAGGCCGCATTCCTTTCTACGCGCGTGGGCGCATACTGTCAGCTACGCAGATCCAAGCTGCAGTTTTGCTATACGCAACTGGTCTATGCGCAGCAGTAGAGATAAAGAGGTTGAGTGGGAAGTTGTGGAGGGCTGCGCAGCGCACATGCTGAAGAATGATCAGACATTCGTGCATCACTGACCCAGCCCTAACACAGCGGACCCTTTTCCTTTCCAACCGCCCAAGTGCGCTTCCGCCTTGGAAACCTGCCCTTGGCTGCTTGCCAAACACAGCCCACAAATCGCCAATAGAACCGGGCCTTCAGGTTTACCTCGAATACCACTGAGGCACTCCGCAAAACAAATGCGGCAAACCCAATGCACTTTCAAAAGCCCCAAGGGGCTACAAAAACTCCGCAAAAGATATCTCTGCGTGGTAGGGTAGCTGCAGCAGTTGCGGTGGGAAAAGCCTGTGGCTGAGCTGAAAGCCGTTCGCTCCAAGAGCCCCGAGGCGGCTAATGGCATCAGCCCAACTGGATTTGGAGGGTGCGCCCCCAACACAACGCAACGCAAACAGCAAACACGGAATACACGTGACCATCCGTAACAAACCAGGATTGTTACTCCTTCCTCAAAGCAAACACATGAGACTCGCGATGTTGCGGGAAAAACGATCAGCTCGGGCAGCGAGGGCATGGACCATTGCAATCTTGCGCGCACGCGCCGAAAGCCCCCGATCCTGGCATTTTGGATGACCAGCAAAAGGCCCCCAGAACATTGCCGACGCCGCTCAAGAAGCGGCGATAGCCCACATCAACACCGCTGGCATCACCCGCAGTTCGTGTCACACGCTCGCTGCTCTACACCACTGGCGCACGCATTCGCCGTTGAGCATCTCTTTGGCTCGTTGGCAAGACAGCGCTAGGCTACCTGAACAAGTTCTGCCAGGCGCAGGGAGAGCGGTGTTGGGCGCTTCCACGCGTGGCACCATGTCGGCGGTTGTTTGTGCGTAGGGCATGACAAACTGAGTCAGTCTTGCTTTTTGACAGCGAACGCGCAAGCGGATGCAGCGTCTGGTTGTCCAAACGAAGGCGTTGCCCTGGATATCCAGCGCTGGGCGTTTCAGTTCTTCGCAAGGTCAACAACCCAGTGGGCTCTCGATACAATATGTCCTTTTCCATGCCGGTAGCCATTCCAACTGATGAATCTTTGCAAGACCCTGGCACGCCGCCTCTGCGTCTATCAAGATTGCCTTTGCCAGGGCGGCGAAAGCGCCAGCAAAGGGCAGCGGAAAAAGTAGGCAGCTGCTTCGGCAAGAAGGCCATTACTGTCAACTTCCCTCAAACTCTGCGTGCGAGGAGCTAACCCGCCGGCGACAAGGGTTCAGGACTGCCAGCCAGTCCAAGCGTTGTCCGCAACAGGCTAGCGTTTTCCGACAGTTCTCGCGCAATGCTTTGCCACCATCGCCGTCAGTCGAGCGCGCTAGGAACTGCGCGTAGCGCCTTCCGCACTTGACAGTCGGTTGCGGCTTTGCGCCTGTTTTCCTTGTCAGGTGCTGTGCCCTGCAAGATGTAGCGCCCCAGTTTGACCAAGGCTTTGTCGCGGCGCCCGCTGACTTAAGAGCGAACGCTGTGATCCCAATGCGTGCAGCACCGACCACCGTACTACGGAAGAGGGCTTGCCGCCATCGAAGCGCACGGCGCGGCAACCTGAACCAGCGCAGTGCGCAACACGCAGCGTCTGCTTGCGCTTGCAGTTCCGCTCACCATGTACTCATCATTAGGCAAAGAATGGTCCCAAGTGTCTGGCATGATGCTGCACTTTGCAGGCGCCCCGTCGGGGAGCGTGAAACATTACGCAAATGCGTGAGTGCCTGTTTCCCAAAGAAGGGGAGCGCCTCCTTGAGCGAAACCAGGGGCCAGTGCCGATGTGAGTTGCTGCCTTGTTAGGTGTAGCTCGGGGGCTGTGTTGGGGCGCCTTGCTCTTGCCACGTCGTCTGCGCCCCAAGGGCAAGGCGGTGTCCCAAGGAGGTGGCCTTCTGCCTTGCTGCGGGGGGATGGATGCTTGAGTCTTCCTTCCGCCTAAGGGACCGGCGGGCCGGGCAAATTTTCGCAGGTTATGGGCTCGACTTCTGCGCGAACTACAAGTCATCTGCAGGCCAGAAAAGCTGAGACATGTAGATGTGTTTTGTTACGCTGTTCCCAACAGCAAAAGGCAAGCTCGAAGTAGGCCCTCCTGCAGCGCAGTCGTATTCTATCAGCTGACGGCCAAGTCCGAAGACGGTATCAGCGTTCTCTTCGGATGGCCCCCCTTTGCCCCTGCGCGCGCTGGAAAATAATGATCCCGGGTTTTGCTGTTGAAGGGGGCAAGTGTCTTACCAGGTCACATGCTGGGCCACTCTCGCAACATACAAGTCTTTTTCTTTTCTGCTTTGGCCTATGAGGATGATGCCATTGCGTACTGTACTCATCCGAAATTGGTACCGCCACAGACGTCTGAGAATCTTGAACATGTTTGTGCCAGAGTGGGATTGGCAATCCGTCCGTTCATCGCTGCGGCTTTGCTTACAAGACTGTTACGCATGAGAAGTTGAAGGCGCTGGCCACACGCAGGCTCCTCGGCGAGTGGCTCCAACGCATGCTACGTCGTGGCGCCAGGCGAACGCCTAACTCCTGGCCTTCTTGAAGGCAACACGGCGGCTGCACAAACTGGGCGATCTACTTTTGGTTGGCAGATTTTTTCCAAGGCGGTTTCCTCAATCCGGGACGAAGTGTCTGGTCGCGGTGTCGCTCAACAGTCGCAGGTTGCCAGCCTGGTGGCGCGGTGGGACACGACATTGGTCGTGATAGTGCGTTCGCCGTTTTTTTCACGATGGTCAAGGGCTGGGAACCGCATGACGCTGGATAAGGCATCCATGCCCGCTTGCATGGGATCGCGGGGATGTCAAGCTTGTTGATGGCATTGTGCGGTCCAGTAGAGCTCATTGCGGCGCAGGCGACGGTAGGCGCTGGTGTTGATGGATATGGTTGAACATCGCGCAGGCCATCTCCCCCTCAGTGAAAAGACACTCTGACTCCCTGCCGATCACCCTAATTTGAGGTCCAGCGCTAGGCGCCGTCGCCGCCAAGGCTGCGCAAGGTGCAGGGGCTGCAGGGAATCTGTTTCGCTGCGCCTGACCTTTGACTCCACTAAGTCCTCCTCCACAGGCTTGCAGCGGTTGATGATGGTACACCTGCTGGAAACCGAGATGCTGGCAACAGCAGCGCTTGCCAGGATGAATTTGGGCAGCTCCCGCTTCTGTTGCACGACGTTGCCGGCTGTGCGACAGAATGCTGCGAGCAGGACTGTCTGAAACACATCTTTGTTTCACAACGTTTTGCCGAATTCATAAGGGGAGCCTTTTGTGGCCGTGCAAGTTTGTTGATAGAATCGTCTGGGCTCTCAATCTAGTTTCAGAAAGCTTCACTGGCATGCATGAACATCACGGGAGCGCCGAAAAAACTTTCTGCATTCGGCCGAAATTTCCCGGGAAGGGCGAACGGCTGCTCCCAAGCATCGTAACCATTCCCAGCTGGATGTGTGTTTTTTCGGGGTTTCAGTTTCAATCTGTAAATTTGCCCAAATGGCTCCCCAACGCGATGGCTGCCTTTTGGGGGCTTCCAGGTTCATGTCTCTATTTGCCTGAAGCAAGTAGAAACAAATCAAATTGCTGTAGATGGGCCGAGTAACTATTTACCCACATTATTTGGAGCAAATCAATAAAAGAAAAAATCACAAAGCAATAAACAAATGTAAGGTGCATAAATGGTAAGGTAAATAAACAAATGAATACAAGTACATAGGTAGAAACAAACAACCACTAACTGAACTCTGAAAGAAAAATCAGAAACTAGAACCACGGGTGGCCCGAAAGCATAATGGAAAGTGAGCGTTGGTTTCATGTATGTGTGCTTGATTTGCCGTACACGTCTTTATGCTGCGACTGATAGGCTTCGGTGTTGCGGGCCCAAGTTACAGCGCAAGATGCGCAAGTGTGCTTCGCAAGCGCGGAACAAGTTTCTGCGAGCAAGTTCCCCGACGAGGAAGTTCTCTGCGTGCTTTCGATTTGAAACCGACCCTAAACCAACCCTAGCCGAAAGCAACTCTAAACCAACCCACAAGCAACCCCAAACCAACCACAAGTACCGGTTTTGGAGTCCTTGCTGGTTTGCAATCCTGGCTCTACCCAAAAAGAAACCTGGCTACTGAGTCCTGGAATCGAAATTAATCGGCCCCTCGTCCATCTACAAACTGCGCCGGCAACGCCACACAGCCTCTCTCTACAGCCCCCCTCCCGAAGTACTTCCGCCACGGTTCGTGAGAAAAACTGCTCCTGTGAAGGGATTCAGCCTCTACTCCTCGAGCCCAATCCAAAGTACAGCGCCTACAACGAAATGAAGCATGGACGCATTAAGCACGAAAGCGAGAATTGAACGCGCGTGCGAGACTAGGGACACCCAGGCCCGGACCTGCCCAAAGTACCGAGACTGCCACGCAAAATTAAGAAACATGGATGCGCGCGCAAGACCAAAAGTGGATGCGCCCGCAGCTGGAGAACGGGGGCCTTGCATCCAGCACGCCAACGCCACTTAATCTTCTTCGGTCCACCAAGCAGGAAACCAAATGTTGGGTGGTTGGGTGGGATAAGAAAGCGCCACAACCCAAAGGGCCAAGAAGCCAAACCAACCAACGACCCAAACAATTTCTGGAAAGCCAGATCCAAGTTGCATCTGGTTGGAGAGAGAGAGAGAGAGAGAGAGAGAGAGAGAGAGAGAGAGAGAGAGAGAGAGAGAGAGAGAGAGGAAGAGAGAGACAAAGAAAGAAAGAAAACAATCTGTTCTCGCACGGCAAACCTTGGCGACAAGATGCATAGCTTTTGCCTTCGAAGCGCCCGCAATGAAAATCGGCTACAAACTGGTTGATGTCACGGTAAAGGTGGGACGATTGAACGTCCCCCAATCGCAAACCTTCACAAAGTGCTGGAAGGGTCGCCGACGCAGCCCCGATTCAACTGAAATAGCATCTTGGAGCACTCGCAGACATACTCCTTTCTTTCGGTTCCCGAACATGGTAGCAAGCTTGGACAATGTTTCAGCTTGTGATTTACCATAAAAAGAATAGGCACCGCCCACAGCATTAACCAACCAGCACTCACCACATGATATCACGCGGCCCCTTGGCGTCAATAGACGATGTTCTGCAGGAAGAGGCCGTTGGGCGGCGCGAGGCGCAACCTCATCTTGTGAACACGGACGGCTTCGGACGCTAGGCCTTGTGGTTCTGACAGTCCAGATGTGACATTTTTCTCAACTGAGCAAGTGCAGTCAAGGATGATGTGACAATAGCATTCGATAGCAACTGAAGATCCAATCTTCGGATCGAATTGCACCGGAATCCAACAAATTTACAAAACACCAACCCTGTGGCTATAAAAGTTTCAGCTGGCCGTAACATTGCCCCCGGATTGAAAAGCCCTGGCGATCAATAAGGCGCGTTCCCCACGCGGTATCCCCAACAGCGTACGGCGCTTCAACTGTTGGGGCACCATTGCTTGAAACCTTGCCTGCGCCACACCACCCCTAACTTCCGGAGCCTTGCTCCTGAACCTGACTCCCCCGCGCCACCCCCAAACCTTATCTGGGCTGAGACCCCACAGCTTTCAGCTGTTGTGGAAAACGAAAAAGAAAAAGAAAAAGAAAAAGAAAAAGAAAAAGAAAAAGAAAAAGAAAAAGAAAAAGAAAAAGAAAAAGAAAAAGAAAAAGAAAAAGAAAAAGAAAAAGAAAGGAATCTATTGAAGGAATCTCAATCCTTCCACAAGCAGCCCAAATCACCTTGTCAAAGAGCATCCATGCCACGCGAAGGTGAAAATGCGCCGGCGACAAATTGACACTACATTAGCGATGAACTTGCAACCATACGGATGGTTGATAGTCCGGCAATAGGTGTTCGACTTCAAAACACATTGTGTTCGACTTCAACTTCTCGCATCTTTCTGTTTGCGACTTTGCAACTTCAAAGGTCACTGGACACAGCGAAATCTTGCAGTCCCAAGCACCGACCCTTCACTTCCTGCATCGCCGCCTCACGCCGGCCCTCCTATCACAGCGCATCTCTGTCCATGAAAATCAGCGGAAAGGACATGGCTCAATGCAATAAGTTGGCCGCTCAGGTTTCAAAGAATTCCTCACCAAAAGCAGCTAGAAAACCAGACTGCCCAAGCCGGTCAGAAAGCCAACCCTGGACTCGGCTGGCGCAGGCTTTCTCAATCTGGAGCAGCATCAGCGGCGGCAGCAGCAGCAAAACAGAGCTTGTCAAGGGGGCCCGCTCCAGGGCATGCTTTGCGGCATACCATATACATCCGCAGTGTGATTCGCGAGTGGTTCAAAACGCATCCAGTGCCAGAAGAGCCACAAAGAAGTTGCGCTTATGTGTATATGTATAGAATGTGTAAGCGAAAACATCCAATTGTTTTTTGATGCGCTGAAAATCCGCAAGCATCGTCTAAGGCATGCCTTGGAAGAACCCTTTCAACGCGCTGGGCTATAGCGAGCAATTTAATCTCGGGAGCCCCCTCCTTCATCTCGGCAGGGTCGAGGGCTCGACGCCCGATTGCCACCAGCGCCGTCACCAGCACTCGCACCATCCTCGAAACGCAGATTTTGCTATTATTTGCTAGTGTGCGGGTGGACGCTGCGGTCAAAATTTGCTCTTATGTTGGGTTGCCAGGGGGGCTGGCCCACCCGACAACTGAATGGAGGCCAGTTGCGAAAATTCCAGTGACTCAGAGTTCAAGACACATCGTTCATGAACGGTTGAGCTGGCAGGTGCGGAGGATTGCGAACGCAAGCACCCGGCGGATGAAGCTTCCTCACGCGCTCGCTGCTTCAAACGTGCTGGTATTTATGGTGTTTCTCACACGTGCAACTGGCCTCCATTCAGTTGTCGGGCGCGCCAACCCCTCCCCCGCCCCAACAAACCCAAGATCTTGGTTGGGTGACGCGTGGGGCCGAACAATGTGTAGCCTGGTTCAGGACGGGCCTGGACACCTGTCGAGTCAGCCCACCTATTAACACGGAATCTCAAAATTTTGTTCCCTCGAAGACTTTTGCCCACAATCACACTTGAAAGGTATCACAATACCAGGGCCCGGTCTCTTACGCGCGCTTAGTCTCATTGTGCTGAAGGCGCCCACCATTTGATGCGTGCACCTGTCCATCAAAGCAAACCTGGCTGGTCCAATCGTCGAAGTCTATCCACACATATGTTTTCTCGCCCTCGGCTATGGTCAAAAGAGTGCTGTTGCAATGAATGCGTGCTCTGCGTTGTGTCAGGAAACTTAAAGCCACTCTGGCATCCTCTCAGAACGAAAAAATCCGGCCATTTGACCGAACGTGACCCTTTCAATCGTTTGCCTGGAGAAACAATACAAGTGTGACGTGTTTGCTTGCCTGCTTGCAGATACGCACGCATAAAATATACATATATATTAAATATATACATATATATATATATGTATGTGTGTTCCAGGCCAAAGACCACCCCCCTTGCCCGCTTCTTCCAGAGTGTCCAATAGATCTCCGGAATACACCTCGCAGGTCCCTGAAGTGGGCCTACACCGACGCAGAAGGTAAATATGCATTGAAGAAGCAGATGACCAAATGTATTGTAAGCAGTGTTTGGGAACAAGTGTAAACTGTACCACAGTCAGCAAAGCGCACCTCTTCCTCTATGAGCTAGAGATGCAAAAGCTACCAGGCCTTGAGCCGGGAATGGCAATGAGATTGCTGCATGAGTGGCTGCTGTGACACAAGCACAGTGCAAAACAGGAAGCAAAACAGACACAGTTTTTGCTCAGGCGTCTCAGATTCAAGAGTACTGCCATTGAGCGATTTAACCACTTGGCCCCTGAGCAAATTGGATTCCTGCAACGTAGCCCTTAAAATATTGGGTTCCGACATGCTCGAATACGGACACACGCAACTTTTGACGAGCTCAAGGTCAGAATCTTCTGATATGTACGCGGCATATGTAGGAAAGATAGTAACCGTACCACGAACCATGGTGAGAAATTCCGGTGAGCCCGAGCAAAAATATCATAAGTCACTATGATGACATTGCTGCACCAGTTGGATGTGCGGTCACTCCTCAGGTGGAGTATCTGCGTTCCTTCTCTCTTTGCCGTTTCAACGCTGCCTCGGAGATGTTGCTGTTCTCAAGCAGCACATGGTGCCAATCTGAATCACTTGGCCCAATCAGGAGGAGCTGATTGCTGGTCAGGAGTTCGCATCTTTCGCCTGAGGCAATATGTTCCCCAGTGGCGGGTTCTCATCTGGTTTGAGATCGTCGGTTCTGATCCGTTCCTCTTGGCCCAATGGAAAACATGTTAGCAAGCAATCTAGGGCTCCGTAGAACCCATCATGCTCCAGTGTAGTTGCAGCGCCATAGTTCAGTCAAGCTTCCAATACGGATCTCGTCGACGCTGAACTGGTTCGAAACAATGGTTCCTTCTGGGCCTCGTTGAAGCGTTTCACGATTCCTTCCTTGCAGTCCAGCGATCTCATCAACAATGTGTTTCAGTCCCCGATGTACGAATCGGGCCGCGTTCCCGATGACTGCAAAATACGACTTTGTCGCATTGCATTCGTAATGCTTTCCTCCCACCGTTTGCCCGGCACGATGCACATGGGTCCTGTAGAACTCACCCCTTGTCTTGTCAGTCAAGACTGCGTCGGGTGTTTATTCATCCACGCTGCTCTCCAAGTACACAATCCTTCCTCCATCAAATACTTGTACATTCTCGATTCGCTTGATCTTGCTAGGAGGTTCCCATCTTGGATCAACATCGCGGGAATATCTTGTCGACGGTCGGGCTCTGTCAAGTAAGAGTTGCAGGCAGTGGTTCTCCCGATCTGGATCTGTAACTTTGGTCTTCTGAATCTGGTAGAAGTCCACACCAAACTCTGAAGTAAGCTTCAGACATGGCCCAAGTGACTTGGTCAGCACATAACGGCTACCCTGGCTGTTGATTTTTTCCACAAGGCGACGAATGGCCTTGCATCCTCCCTGGGCAGCGCAACACCTGCACCCAGCTTGAAGGAAGATATCTTCTTCTAAGAAATAGTAGCAGCTGAGCGGTTTTCTCATTGGCCTTGAGGAGCGGTCAATGATGAATCTGTCAGGCACATCATGAAGTGGTTGATGGATTTCGTAAATCAAGCAAATCCCCCAGGTCAGCGTACCTGTAGACCCTGAAGAATTGCAAACCATGGATACCGTGGTTCTCATTGTTGAAATCTTGGAAGATACTGAAATCTTGGTCTGATTTCTTAGGAGGATCTGGATCAACCATCTCCTCGTCCTCATCGACATCGGACTTCTCCGACTTTTCCTCTTCCAGCTAAATCCTTCTGTGGATCAGGATCTGGACCTGACAAACTGCGCCTAGGTTGCGCCACATAGCAGAAGGTTGTAACTCACAGGGTCAAGCTCACTTGAAAGTAAATGGCTGCGGGAGCAAACACGAATTTCTTGAGTCAACAGTTCTGGTAAGTTTCCTACAACTGCAGAGACATTGAAAAGGTTCATGGTTCCCCGGCGGAGATCCGCTTCGGTGAATGCTACCTCATATGACATGTTCTCTGCTAGGAAGGCGCAAACGCAAGGCCCAATATGAGTATTGTAGGCCAACCATTCAACCAGGAACGGCTTGCTCTGAATCATTGTTCTGAAAGGTTGATGCATATCGACATTCCTCTCAAGACAGGTTTGATGGGCTTGTCGGCCTTGGCAGAGCCTTTCGTCAAACAATCTGCAAGACAATATTCTGAACGTACATGGGCGAGATCATGCACCTGACCACTCCTACTCTCCTTATGGAGCATTTGGATAAGGTTAAGGTATCAGGGGGTCCAACTAATCTGATTTTGCCTTTAAAAATCCAGAACCTGATACTAAAAAACTCTTTAATGGGGCTGACAGTCTTGTTTGTGGCTCTCACATCACTACTAGTGGGAGATGAGGCCTTCGATGCACATCATGAACATTGATTCCTAGACTGCAGCCAACTTATCTGTCCAAACACGCTTCGGTATGTGGCGCGCGTAGCTAATTGAATCTCGTGGAGTTCATCTATGCCTACATTCTGGCGAACATTGATGTAATCTCCGTGCTGTGGATCATGTTTCAACGGGAGCCCTTGTCCAACCAACACACAATCATTCTTGTCCTCGGACCTATCTGGAAGTCCTTACGGATCTTGGCCATGACCTGTTTCCTGAAGGTATCGTCACCTGCCATGAGAAAATCATCTACATGCAAAGACATGACACCGTGGACCTGTCTACCTTGGCATGCTTGTAAAAGGGCATGAGACAATCAATGGCTCCTTCCAAGTTGCAGCCATTGGGATGGACCTTGCTGGCTCCCGGAATTGGCTTAGGAATCTCGCCATAATAGACATAGGTGCAGCGATCCGCACGAGTGGGCAGAGGCCATAAGACGCGATCCGCACGAGTGGGCAGAGGCCATAAGACGTTAGTGCTGAATCAAGAATGTTCCACCATCGCCTCAGCGCATCATTGAGTCCGTATGCGGATAACTTTTGAACATGCGCAGGTCTTCCGGTTACGTTGCGGCCTTGTGGGTTCTTACGGTCTAGCTACACGCATGACCAAAAGCCGGCGCATAGCAATCTATATAGAAAAAAGGCTACACACCCACCCACACCCGCCCGCCCGCTCCCCCGCGCGCGTGCGCGCCCGAGGCGCGCGTGCCGGCACGCAGGCTCGCAGGCACGCAGGCATTCAGGCAGGCACGCAGGCACGAAGGCAGCCAGGCAGGCAGGCAAGCACGCAGGCAGGCACGTAGGTTTGCAGGCACGCAGGTTTGCAGCACGCAGGCGCGCACGCACGCAGGCACGCAGGCTTGCAGGCACGCAGGCACGCAGGCACGCAGGAGGCACGCAGGCACGCAGGCGCGCAGGCGCGCAGCCACGCAGCCACGCACGCAAGCGCCGGCCCGCCTCGCCGCCGGCCCACCCTCCCTCCCGCCCGCCCGCCCGCCCCCGCACGCACGCACGCACCATCAGGAATGGGAAGGGGAAGAATGGCCCCAACTGCGGGCGATCCAAGGGACGCAGGCGATGCGCAAAACACAGGGACTTTTGAAAGCGACGGCAACGCTGGCAATGCAGCCAGCTTGCTGCAAAGCGGCAGTGTTTTGAGCCTTCCCTCAACTCGAGCTTCGTCGGGAGGCAAAGCCTAGGCGTGCGCCCCTTCAGGCAACATAGCACGGCGAGGCCGGATTTACGTTGCTGGCCCACAACCAGCCGCGGCAGCACCGCTGCGCTGAGCTTCCTTTGCGCCAGCTCTTACTCCGCCAAAGAGGCCGCCTGTGCTTGCAACAACAACACCAAGAACAACAGCAATAACTACACCAACAACAATCACCACAGCCGCAAGAACAACAGCAGCAGCAGCAGCAGCAGCAGCAGCAGCAACAACAACAACAACAACAACAACAACAACAACAACAACAACAACAACAACAACAACAACAACAACAACAACAACAACAACAGCAACAACAACAACAACAACAACAACAACAACACCGATAATAATCAGCACAGGCACAAGAATGTGTC